TGCTTCATTTCTGTTTTATGGCTGAATAATACTCCGTTGTATGGATATAACATTTTGTTTGTCCCTCATTGGTGAGGGACATTCTTCTTATTTCCATGTGGTATTACTATGAATAATGTTGCCATGAACATTCATTCAGAGGTCTTTTTGTGGATATATATCTTCATTGCTCTTGAGTATATACCTATAATTGGAATTGGTAGGTCATGTGCTAACTTTGTATTTAATATTCTGATGCATTGCCAAATTATTTTCCAAATTGCACCAATTTATATTTCCAAATTGCACCAATAATGAATGAGAGTTTCCAGTTCTTCAAATCTTTTTAAGTATTATTTTTTAAATTTCATTATTTTGACTTGTATTTCCTTAATGACTGTGGATGTTGATCATTTTTCAAGTGATTATCAGCAATATGTATATCTTCTTTGGAAAATACCTGTTTAAAAACTGGCCATTTCTTAATTGGATTGCTTATCTTTTTGCTATTAAGGTTGCTAAGAGTTCTTAATATATCCTGAATACAAATTACTTACCTAACATTATTTTTCAACATCTTGTCCTTGTAGACAAACTAGAATGTAATTTCAGTCTTTTGATAATATCCTTTGAAGTTTTTTTTTAATTGATAAAGTTGAATTTATCTGTTTAGTTGTTAATGCTTTTAATGTTGTATCCAACAAATTATTGACTAACTTAGGTCACAAAGATTTATTCTAGTAAGTTTTCTTGTAAAAATTGTGTATGTTTAAATATTACACTGTGATCTATCATCCATTTTTATCCAGTTTTGTATATAGTGTAGGAAGGAATTCAACATTATTCTTTTTCATGTGAATATACAGTTGTTCAAACGTAATTGCTGAAAAGAAAACCCCTTATTTGCCCACTGAATTGTCTTGGCATTCTTGACTAAAATAATGTGACCATAAATATGAGACTTCTGTAGTCTTCTATTTTATTGATTCATATGTTTGCCTTTATGCCAGTACCGCACTGTCCTAATTATTATAACTATGTACTAAGTTTTAAAATTATGAAGTTCAGACCTTCCAAATTTTTTCTTCTTATTTAAAATTCTTTGGGACAAGAGAACTGGAACCCTAATTATAAGGTTAGGATTCTGTAGATAGTGTCACAAGTCATGGCTCACAAAATAGAGTTGAACACATAATCCTTAAATGAAAAAAAAAATAAATTTAAATATAAAAGGGAATGGATATAGGGTAAAATGAGATAATACTTAAACTTATAAATGAGATTCAAACATTATTCAAAATTGATTAAACAGGTAAGAAAAAAATTTTTGTTATTTAATTTGTGAAAATAACCATCAGAATAAGCAAAATGATGAAAGATGGATGATTCTGTCTAGGTAGTGAGGAGGTGAATGTGTTCCTGCTATTTTATTTTGTTTGTTTGTGTTGTTTTTTGAGAGAGTCTCACTACATAGTGCTGGCTGACCTCGAACTCATGGCAGTCCTCCTGCCTTGGCCTCCTGAGTGCTGGGATGTACTCGGGAGGCCACTATACCTGGTTGCTGTTCATTTTCAACTTTCCTATATTGTTTTGAACATTTTTAGTTATGTTGACATGTCACATTTCTAATATTTGGAGTTTCCTCCATACTACACTATCACAGAGTATAACATAACTGAGAGGAATGTTATTAATAGCTATATACAAGTACACACAAACATATACATGGATCCAGCTGCAACTCTGAATGCAAAATGTAAAAGATTTAATTACATAGGAATCAATCAAAATACAGATTTGCCTCCAGATTTGTTTTCTTGGCTAAAATACAAAGTAGTCTCACACCTGTCATATGCAAAATCATTTAGAAGGAAACTGAACCCCAGATGGTGCCTAGGAAAATGCAAGATTTTTTTCAGCTTTATTGATGTATAAGTAACAGATAAAATGTATTTACAGTGTAGTGTGATGCCATGATATATGCATGCATCATGAAATTAGCACTACAATCAAGTAAATTGTTATATTTGATAACTGACATAGTTCCTTCAGAACATTTAAGATCTATTTTCTTATCAAATTTTAAGTGTGTATCATAGTATTATTAATTATAGTCACTATCTGATACATTAGATCTCTAGAACCTATTCATCTTGTTTAATTAAAACTTTGTAGCCTTTGGTGAATATCTCCCTATTTCCTCCCTTACCCCTTACCACAGCTCTACTTTGCTTCATGAATTTGGCTTTTACAGATTCCATGTATCAGTAAAATTTTGCAGTAGTTGTCTTTTGCACCTAGCCTATTTTTTTTTAGCATAATATCATCTATGTTCATCCTTCTTTTCAAAACTGATAGGATTTCCCTTTTTTAAAACCTGAACCAGGTAAGGTAGCATATTCCTGTAATTGCAGCACTGAAGAGGATAATGAGTTCAAGTTCAGCATAAACTACATAGCAAGACTCTGTCTCAAAAAATTAACAAAATCAAAGCTAAAAAGCTGAATAATATGGCTTAGCATGTATTTATGTTACATTTTCTTTGTGTTCATCAATTAATAGAAACTGGGTTGGGTTAGCACCATACCTTAGCTATTATATCTCTAAGAGAAGCAAATCTTAAAGATTTTGATCTGGCATGATTTGGAATTTTAGCATGTAGCACATCAACAATACCAAATTTGAAAAATTAGTTATCATTTCATGTGCTTAAAAATACTCGTAAATTTAAGCATTTCACAGGCCAATACTAGTGTGAAGTCTTGCAGGTATGACAATGCACTACTTAAGGTTTACTGGAAAGACCACAAAACTTGAAATACAAAAAGTGGATTGCTCTATTTATCTCATTTGCCACTTGATTTGAGAAAATTATTTCTAACTGCATAGAGGTGCTATCAAAACTGACTGAGATAAGAGACTACATATAAAAACTCTTCATAAAATATAAAGCCCAGTATAAAATTTAAATAGTGTTAGGTGCTGTTATGACCATTAATTATGATTGGTAACAAAGTACACCTGTATAAAATAGTAATGCTGCAATGGAAATTCACCCTACTATAAAAATATAACCAAGAAGAATCATTTTTTTTTTATCTAAAATGAGTGGATATTACCATCCCCAGAACATGAAAGATGATACTTGACTTTATATAATTCTCAGTGACACAACAGGGCCAGTCCCCTGGATGACATCTGGAATCCACATGTGCCTATCATGCACATCAATTCACACTTTAAGCAAGAAAATGATATGTGATACAGAGAGTAGACTCATGAAAGCAGATTATTCACATGCTTGACAAGAAATGGAAAAATATCCTGAGGATTCTAGACACCCTAGAACAGGACCAAAGTGAATATGTTCAATGCTGAATAAATGCATAGAAAGGGGTAGAATTCAAAGGAAGGAAGGGCAAAGCTGGAATGTTGCAAGGTAGCTTGAAGTCAGGAACTCAGGAAATAGCAATGGCCTTAGCACTGCCACAAGAGCTCTGTGTGATCCTGGGCAAGGCACTACCCATGTCTGGGCCTTGGCTTCTTTACAACACAAAGAAGAGTTGTAAGACTAGTTAGCACAACTAAACAATTTTTATAATACTCATTTTTCTGGTGTCTGTTATGGGTAAAGAAATATTCTAGTCATCCAGAATATATCAAAGAATAAAAACAGTCTCTGCTACCATGGATTTGACATGCTAGATGATCTCCCTTCAGTTTCAAAGACCTGGCACATAAAACTCTTGACTGTGGCTTTGGAGAGGCCAGAGAGGACAATCAGTATAGCTAAATAACCAAGAAGAATAAGGATGATCTTTTCACAAGAAGTGTTGGTTTGTTTGGCAGTACTGGGGATTAAACCCAGGCTTGTATCTTCAGCCCTTTTATTATGTTTTTATTTTGAGAAGGAACTTGTTTTTGCTGAACTAGAACTTGCAATTCTGCTGTTCTAGGCTCCCATAGGGTTGGAATTACAGGCAAGCACCACACCTGGCTGCAGTGTTCTTTCTGAGAGCAGAGGCAAGGGCCTGTAATACGCATTTTGTCTCAGTCTTAATTCTGGGCACTGGAGCTTAATATCAAGGATGGCAGCAAACTGACTTTTCCCCTGAAAGATAAATCTAGGGCTCAAAGATGTTTCATTCTTCATTCATATAGGTAGGCCCACTACAGAGCAGATGTGGGAAATTTGATTTTTAAAAAGCTTATCCAAAATGACTATTATTGATAAATGAAATTTCTTAAAAATTAATGAGCATTGGGGCTGGAGGTTTAGCTCAGCGGCATAAGCACCTGCCTTGCAAGCAGGCGGTCGTGAGTTCGATCCCCGGTACCGATAAAAATGAAAAAGTAAAAAAAAAATTAATGAGCATTATATTACTCCTGGTCTTTTTCTATAATAGGAAAGCACAACATATATCTCTTCTAAAATATAAGCCTCTGCCTTTATTTCTGTAACATATTAAAATTCACTTTGCATTGAAAAAACACAAATAATATTGGTTTTATTCTGTATTTCTTGTTGCCCAAAATTCACTGAATTGGTATCAAGAAGAAAAATATTAGGTGAAATAAATCAGACATGTGTGTAAATATCGTTTTTTCTCCCTGGTGTGAGAAAGTGAAAGAGTAAATAAGGACCAAAATGTACAATAGATATTGTGAAATAGGAAGAAACTTTTTTTTTAAAAGAGGAACTTGGGAAGGAGAATGGAGAAGAAAGGAAGACAAAAGAAAAACAAAACGATAAAAAGTGGATAAAATGTAAACAAAGCTTTGTAAATAGGGAGGGGAAGAGAGGTTGAAGGGAGGGGAGAAGATTGAGATAAAAAGAAGAATCAGGTTTATATCATGCACAAGTCCAAATTCCCAATGATGAATATGATCATTATGTGTATCTAGGTTGTACCAAAAAACAATTGAAAAAAATCTTAAAAGATGTGAAAGTCATTTTCCTTATAGATAGCTATCAAAAGAGTATCTCTAAAGAGGGTCTTGGCCACATCTTTCACCTTAGATCATGGGCCCCAGGATCTCCAAACACACAATGTCTTCAACAGAATTCTCTGAAAAATCTGCTTCACCCTAGGAATCCCCATAATCAATATGATAGAATGAAGAGATGGGTAGGCAGTAGTGTTTCACACATTAGTGCCCTGGTAAGATCAGCAGAATATTGGGAAGTGAGGGCAAAGTGGGTAGTCACAAGTGCAGTGCAGTGTAAGGAAGCAGCCCAAGGACCTCGGGGCAGTATAATGTGAGCCTGTGCTTGAGCATCTCTCCTGCCAGCTTTATGGACATTCATCTTCTTGTGGTGTCTATACAAAGACACAGTCAATGCCCCAGAAGAAGCAAGAAACACCATGAAAAGAAACCAACTTACTGCAGTGAGCTGAAATACTAAACGAGCGTGCCAGCTTGAAAAGAATGCTGTTGTTTCCAGGGGCAAAACTGGAGGGATTTAAACCAGTGTTGACTATAATTAGATGAGAAATTATCCCAGAAGACACCAGACAGTAAAGATTTTGATCCTGTGCTTCAGCCACAAATAGGCAGGGTGAGTGAAGTTCGTGATCTTCTTACAGTAGAAGACACTGAGGAAAGTAGCAAACCATAAGCTACATTGACTAACCAGCACCCAAAAGATACTGAGATAGCGAAGCCAATGGTTGTTCTGAAAAAATGGAAGCAGGATGATGTCCAGCATCATGATCCACTGCAAGAGAAACCAGCAGCCAGCCAGACTAGGACAATGAGGTTATATGAGAATCCCTTGACTTTTCCGATCCATTCTTTGAAATTCCAGACCACAAGGACTCCATTTCCAACCAGGCCAATGAAAAATTTAATGACTGCTACTGGCATCATCAGTCCTAGGGCAATAAGGAACAAGGCTAGGGAAGAAAGTCTGTCACTTTTGTCCCACGAAATATCCTGTTTCTGTGCTGATGAATATGTATGGCTCCTGGCTTAGGTCAAATCCCTGATGTGATACCACAGTCAGGATAATTTTCATGCCACAGCATATGAATTTGGGCTTGTCCTTCTGTAACCTATCCTCAAATAGAAAATGAAAAGCTATGACCAGGAACAGAAAAGTAAGGTGTTATGATGATCATGTCTGTACTTGTATCTATATAAGTGAACCCTGAGACTAGTTCAGAAATTGGAAACAGTATCGAAAACACTGAGTCGCCATTTCAAAGGCCATGGGCTAAAGTCTAGACATGAGCAGATAATACAACAAAAACTATCAAACGGATCAAATCAAAACATATCCAGGTTATACAGAAAGCCAAATATGAGGTCATGTGCCATAAATATTTTCATAAAAGATTGAACATATAAGCATGGAAATTAAGCAACCTTAAATCAGATTTTATCAATGGGAGAAATGGAGAAAGTTAAATGGAAGGAAAAAAACCAGAAACATTTAAAAGCCAAACAATAAAAAGAAAAGTGAAGGAGCAAGGCCATTATAATAAACCATGACCTTTGGAGCCATCTGCTCCTTATAGTCAGTTTTCTACACATAATTTGCCTTTGTATGTATCTCACACATGTTTTAGAAAAAGGAGATGAGCTTAAATAATTGATTAATAGATAAGTATAATTATTAAGAAATTCAATAAATGTGACTCATTTATTGTCCTTCAGACTCCAACTTGTTTGGGTTGCAGTATAATACAGATATGTTTGTGGTAAACTGAATATGATTCTTAAGATTCTATCTTCCTTGTATACATACATATCCTCAATAGTCCGTGGGCATAAGTAGGACTATGAATAAGATGCGATGTTGCAAAGGGCTTTTGTAGATATAATTAAGGTCTCTGATTAGTCAATTTTGAATTAATCAAAAGGAAGACTAGCTTAGGTGACCCTGAGTTAATGAGCTGAAGACATTGAAAGAGGGACTTGAGCTTTCCTGGGGTCAGGATCCTCCTGTTAGCTTTGAATGGAGCTGCCATGTTTTGACAAAGAGGAAACTTTAGGAGGTCGGCAGACACTGGTAGTGGCCACCTGTTGACAGTAGCCAATATGGAGACCTCAGTACTACAACTGCAAGGAACTGAATTTTGCTAGCACCTATGTGAATTTGGAAAAGGATTTCAAACTCCAAAAAGGAATGAATTCTGGCCAACAGTTTTATTGTAGCTTATGACACCTTGAACTGAAAACCCATTTAACCTATGCCCAAAATGGTCCACCAAAACTATGATGGAATAAATTGACCTGCTAAGTTTGTATGCTACACAGTAAATAGTAAACTAGTACAGAATTCAAACCAAGCTGAAAACTACTAAGAAAAATGTGGAGAAAGAGTAATTGTATCAGATAGAAATAGGAAGGCCAGGCTAGCTTCTAAGGAAGGCAACGTAGTTGTAGAAGAAAGAGTTGTATCAGGAGCCAGGAGCCCTGAAGTTTGGCCCCAGCACCTCCTGGACTTTGCAGGAAGTCATGGGAAGATCATTGCCCATCTCTTGATCCCTAAATCTAACATAATTAGATTGGTAAATTAAGTTTCCATTCCTTCATAAAAAAGATTTATAGACAATGTATTATGTAGAAGGCACAAGGAACACAGTGGTAAACAATGCACAGTCCCCACTTCTAGACAATATCGTCTCCATGCAGCTCTAAGAGAATCAGAGAGAGAGAGAGAGAGAGAGAGAGAGACAGAGAGACAGAGAGACAGAGAGAGGGAAGGGGGGAGGGAGAGAGGAGAGAGACAGAAGGAAAAGAAAGGGAGGAGAGAAAGAGAGGAGAGAGGAAAGAGGAGAAAGAAGAGACTGGCTAAAAAACCTGCATGAAGCTTGAACCTGTCCAAAAACAGTGTTCACTTGAACACTTTTTGATTGAACTATGAGTGCCTCTGTCTCCCTTCCCATCCTACTGTAGCATAGGAAGTGGAACTTCCACAGATCAGCCATGGTAGCCAGCAAATATGTTTCCAAAGGACTATTCTGGAGAAAAAAAATCTCCAGAAATATAAAAATAGGGTTTTCACAGGTACTTTGCTACTGGTGTTGAGAAACTAAATATCACAGAGACATGAGATGGTCATTTAGTTAATTTCATTATGAAAAAGGCCTACCTAGACAATACCCATCAGTGCATAAGCAGTTCCAACTTTTTTCTTTAAATATACATTGTTTTAAAATTATAACTATTTTGTACTTATCATAGAGAGATACAATCATTGCCTTGGTAAGAAAGGCTTATTTATCTACATACATTTAGAAAAATATGACACTTATCATGCAAAACATTAAAATCTTGTTTTGACTCCCAGAATTTATGAAAATAATGCACTTTGCACTGCTTGCAGAGCAATAGCTCTGGTTTCCATTAGTTTTTCATACTACCTTGTCATTTTGTTTAAGTCAAAGAGGCAATAACAAGAATAAAGAACAACTTTTTAATTACTTTTATTTAAAACTTAAGTTAATTTTAGTCTTTCTAGTTACTCAATTTAGGGCCTAATCTGTCTCCCATGTCATGGTATCTAGAATTTCCAAGCACAAACCATCATCCACAGAATGCTCTGGTAATTATTACTCATGACAGTTGGAGCAGAGAAGAGGTAAATTTATGTGGCAGAAAGTATTGCAGACATGGAGACGGTAGTAAGTTCCCAGGGGCAATGTTTGGAGATGGAAACAAGGCTAGCCAAGGCATTCCCCATGTCAAGGAGGAACTTCACAGCAATCCAAACTTCATCTTCCTGTGATGTCTATATAAAAAAGTAATCAGGAGGGAAGTTCCAACAAGGTGACTGAGTAGAGGTACTGGGTACAACCACCTACAAACAAAGAATGATGAAAAACACAGAACACTGCTATCTAGCTAGAACCTTCAGGTAGAGCACTGGAATATACAACAGATGACGATTTCTTCAACTTGTTACTAAATTTTATAAATTAAAAAGTCCATGTCAGTACTCAATGATCAACATAGCTGAATTCCTAGACAAAAATTTATGTCCATGAGTAATTCCAAGATATGTGGTAGACAAATTGTCCTATAAACTGAAAATATTTCACTTTTGGCAATAAGTTTTGGCTGAGATATTTTCAGAAATTTCTGTATCTTAAAGATAAATAAATTGTACTAAATCTATATTGGAAGTAGTCGATGTTAAAATAATACAAGTAAAAAACCAATTTCTTATTAATATATGATTCCTTGAAATTCAAGCTACAAGTATATCAGTTTTATTAGCCTTAATTGATATTAAGGCTGTTCTTAGCCTTAATTGATATTCTTGGTATTAGCTGTAGATTGTTCTTAGCCTCAATTGATATTCTTGGTATTAGCTGTAGATTGCTTAAATTTATTTATTATTAATAATGGATAAAGTATAGGCCACTAAAAAACTTGAATATCTTTGAAAAAAGGGAAGGGTGAGTGGAAAACTTAAATCCCATCATAAAAGATTTAGAATTTATTTTCATGACAATTGCAAATACAAAGACCAAGTGGCTTTTTTTGGAGGGAGGAAGATCTGTGGATTTAAAAAGCTTATTAGGTTTCTATGGCTGCTGTAACAAATTATTACAAGAAGTCTTAAAACAACACAAGTTTACTGTACTCTAGGTACAAAGTCCATCTAAGATTTTACTGGGTTTAAAACAAAGAAACAAAGAAACAAACAAAATCAAAGTGTCAGCAGAGTTGTTCTTTTTTAAAAAATAATTATTATTTTGAAGGTGGTAAAATACAACAACAGAACAAAGCCAATCAAGACAAGTGAAACTGGTACAGAACTTCACAGCTGGATACTGGGATAACAGTAGTAGGTACCATAGTATATCTCTTTATCTTCACAATAGCTGTCCTTTCAATCAGGTATAGCAAAATCAAACCAAACACAAAACATTATAAAACTTATCAAAACAGAATATTGAGTAGAGCAATACAATTAATCAGAATAAAGCAAAACAGTGATAACAATATTTGCCTTCAAAGAGAGGATAAAAGGAAATCCCTCATATTTGCTATATTGCATACTATCATCCTCCCAAGAGATGCTTGGATCTCTGGTTCCCAGTTGCTAACAGGGGACTGGGGGTGGGGGTGAGATATTTGATTCTCAGCCTGGGCTCAGGTAGGCTCATGGCTGCTAACAGGAAGAAGGGCGTGTGTTGCTTTCTTACCCAGTGCCCTAAGTTCCATCATGGCCAGAGATGATGGCTGGTTCTCTCCCTGGCTTGCCACCACTGCTCACTGGAGCCAGGGCTGCTTACCAGAGAGGCGAGCGAGCAGAGTTGTGCTTTCTGGGGAGAATCCATTTTCTTTCTCTTTCAGAATTTAGCTCAATTAAGTACAGATTCATACATTTCAGTCTTCATTTCCTTACTAGTTGCTAGCTAAGGGTTCTTCCCAGTGCTAGAGACCACTCATATTTTTACTTTTTAGCCACTTACTCCATTTTCAAAGCTGTAGTGGTAGGTCCTTCTCATACTTTGAATCTTTTCTGATTTTTTTGTTATTGCTGCTGCATCTCTTATTCAAATATTTTTCATTTCTTTTATACTTTTAAGAGCTCATATAATTACAATTAGTCCTGTCAAGTAATCCAGGATAATCTCCCAGCTCATGATCCATTTAACTATAGTCACATCTGATTATATTATATTCACAGGATTGATTATGGATATCTTTGTGGGACCATTACTCTGCCTACCACAAAACTCATTAAAATATATATTGTATTTTAACCAAGAGATTAGAATATGTTACCCACAGATAGTATACAGTTGTGTCTTGAATCTTCACCTGCTGAGTGTTTATCCATTCTTGTCCTATGTGTCCCAGTCTCTTGGGTATCCAGAATTCCTCTATAACTTAGAGAGTTGAGAGATCTACAGAAGGATTTCTCTTAGTGTGCCCAAACTGGTAAAATGTAATACTACAGAATGAGTGGCTTATTAACAGAAAGTTATTGCTCGAAGTTCTGAAAGCTGAGAAATTCAAGATTAAGGTACCAGAAGAATTGGTGTTTGGTGAGGACCTGCTTCTATCTTCTTTCTGTACCCTCACCAGCTTCAAGGGAGAAAAGAAGCTCTTCCTTTATAGGGGCACTCATCCCAGTCATTGGGGCTCCATTCTTCTCACCTAATTACCTATGAAGTCTTCACCTCTAAATACTATTGCTTTGAAAATTAAGCTTCAATATATGAATTTTAGGGGACACAAACTTTTAACTTACTGCAGTGCTTTCCCAACTTCTGAACCAGAGGGTTGACAGTTGCTTTCCTGCTTCCTTTGGACTGTGGTCTGTACAAGGCCCAGTTTTCACCTTTTGCCTCATCCCTACCACCTCTATCTCCAGCCTGCTGCAGCCCTGAGTTACTGTCTTCCTTGGATCTAGATGACATCCTCACCTTGTTCTAGAGTTTCCAATCCCCTTTTTGGATTTGATTAATAGTTGATGACACTGTCTTGTAATTTCCATTTTTAATAAGATAATTAATATAGTCATTACTAATTTCTCTTTGTTCAATGAAAAGAAAGGTTTGTGTTAATACTGTTTGAACAATTAAATGCTCATGCACTAATACTGTTTGGACAGTTAAACACCCATATCCTGTACTCAGAGCAACCAATCTAAAGGTAACAATATTCAATGTATCATCTATTGTTATTCTACACTATTCCATTTTGAAATTTTATTTTTTTCTCTTAAAAAATTAAAAGTTCCTTTTCCATCTCTTCCTAGATCCTTGAGTTTTAGGGAGTGTTTGGAATCTAATTCTTCCCTACCTGCCTAAACTTATTTACTAGTATTTTCTAACACGTAGGAAGTTCTAATTTATTTAGTACTACTCTTGCACCAGGGAAGCATTGTGCTAAGGTACTTCACATGTTTACAATTTTAAGTCTTTAAAACTATCCTTTAACTTTGATGATCTAGCTTCCTTTACATATCGGAAAATAGATTCAGAAAAGGTATATAATTTGTTTAAAATCATAGCTAGCATGGATAGAATAAGAATTTAAATTTTGCTTTTCTGTAAAATCTCAAAGTTCATATTTTTCCCTATCTATCTTGTGTTGTTTAAAATTCAATTTTTATTAGGGTGATTTTCCTTGTTTTTTATTTTAAAAAGCAAGACACAAAAAAGGCTAGAAATAATTCAGAATTTTAAAAAAGCAGTAAGAAATCAATACTAGTTAATATGTTGCATATTGTTATCTTAGAAGTAGTTACTCAGGTTATAAGATCTAGGCATAAAAAATGATCAATCAAACAATGACAGCACAAACTTCTTTCTGATAAACTAAGAGATTAGGAGTACAATGATCTATCTTACATGTATATACACATATAATTATATATGTATACTTACATATATAATTAATGTATATATTTATTTTATATGTTTATTATAATTATACAATAAAAGATTATATAATCTTTTCCTTTCTTCCATTTCTCCTTTCCTCTATCCCAGTTGTCCTTTCCCTTTGAGCACTTTCTTTCTCTTTCATTATTACAATATCTATTGTACATTTTGGATCTTATTTTCAGTTTTTATTATTTTCTACATAGGGAGACAATAAAATATTTATAAACATGAGTTCGATTTATTTCATGTATGTGTGTAGTCTCAAGTTGTTTCCGCTTACCTATAAAAGCCATCAAGAAATCAGTCGATAACAAGTGTTGGCAGGGCTGTAGAAAGAAGAAACACTTCTCCACTGCTGGTAGGAGTGTAGACTGGTGCGGCCACTATGGAAATCACTGTGGAGATTCTTTGAAAAACTAGGATTGGAAGCCTCATTCAATCCAGCTATTCCTCTTCTGGGCATTTCCCATTGAAATTGAAAATGTCATGCCACAGTGATGTATGTGTACCCGTGTTTACAGCAGCACACTTTGTAACAGCTAAATCTTGCAAACAACCAAAAGGTCTATCAACTGCAGAATGGATAAAGATGTGGTATTTTTATGAAATGGAATATTATTCCTTTGTGTTTTTAAACATACATATTATTATGCCTTTGCTCACATTGTTCTTTTGCAATTCAGTTTCTGTTTTTACTTAAATTAGATCTGTCCTTTTAAGTTTCAACTGAAACTCCCTGATGAATAGCTTCCTGAATTCCATTTGTTTTTGATCATTTTCCCCTAATTTCTGTACTCCTTGTAATGTCTTACTTTTATTTTCCATATTTCACATATGTTAATCTATGTTCCTAAGTGGAATAGAAATTCTTTGATGAAAAATGCCAAATTTATGCCTGTCTGCCTCCCTTCTTCTTTTAGTTTCAATTTTTAATTGCTGTTCTTTCTCTGACTCTTTATGTGGATGCTGTAATAATTACAGTCCAGAAATGAAGCATGATTGATCTTAATAGAATTTAACCTTATGTGAAAACTTGAAGTCCTTTGAATAAGAGAGTTGGCAGGCAAGTAGAAGCCAATATCTCCTGTGATGTCATGGACTTCCTCATAATATTGTAGCTAAGAGCATAGAATTTTGAATCTGATATTTTGAGGTTCTATTCCAGACTGTGATATCTACCAGCAAAGGGTAACATCTTAGATTCAATTTTCTCATTTGTAAAGGGAGATAAAAGATAAGTTCAGAAGATATGAACAATACATGAAGTATAGATGTAACCCAGTAGAGTGTATTAGTTGACCATTTCTTTATATTATTGTAGGGTGTGGGCAAGAGACACTAGAAGACAGAGTGCTACATCCCAGTGTGCTACATCCCAGAGTATCTCTCTGGAGGTTTTATTTCAGTCTTAGAGAGACTGTAGGCCTGTATAGTCAGCGATACACAGTAGGATGTACAAGGAGATGCAGGGTATTATTTTTTCTTGTCCTTAGTGACATCCTCTATCCAGGATATGTATTTGTAAACATTGGTGTAAATGCCAACATCCCCTCCCATGAAGCGTCCAACCTCTATCCCCTGGAGCTTTTTATTGCAGATGACAGCAGCAACAGCCACCTCCTATCAAAGATCAGAGAGAAAGAAAGACGGTCAGAACTCACGGAACTTGCTCTAATCTCCAATTTAGGCGAACCCTACCAAGAGAATTGATATCATAAATTTTGGGTTCATTTTCTAGTTTTGCTATAACTGGTCTTGTATGACTCTGAATGTCAGAGAATTAGCCTCTGTTGATAGCATATACAAGTGAGTCAAACCACATTTATTTGAACTGGCAAATGTAGTTTCAATTTGTGAAAAATTTATAATTTTTTAAAAAGCAAATCCTGTTTTAATTTCTAAAATTATTTTATACCTATGAGAATGAACATCTAGCAAAATATTAATGATAAGAGATACTGTATGAAGCTCTTTAATGAATATGGATTCTTTGTAAGGAGACTCCACCCATGGTTAGAGAAATAAAGGTGTCTTCCCAAGGGTCTTATCAAATTCTCAAGAATATTAAGTTAAAAAAATTTATACTATTCTTAGTAGTTAATTGGATACAAGTAAAGGAAAACCGAATATAGAGAAAAGATTACCCCAAAGATTCGGTTGAATACTTTCACAAATTTAACACAGAAAGAGTTCCTGTGGTTCCTTCCTTGTTCAGTTTCCTGGCACTCTTTATCAGTCATCACTGGGCCCTGCAAATTCTGCCGTAAGTCAGGATGTCTGCCTGAGGGAATGTAGGATAAAAGAAAATATTATACTCACAGTGACTTAACTTGCTTCTCTTTCAACTGATACCTTTTGTGTGTATATGAGGAAAATAAGGAATCAGAAAAAGGGAAGAAATAAATGAACATAATTATGAGAGTTAATCCTAAGGATTTTAAAATAGTTTTTATGTGTCTTTATGAAGAATGTTTTTTCTGTTCTGTGTCTAGCCCTGGATGAAAGAAGTGTCCTGACTCAGGTTCTCACAGATGTCTCTTACATGTGAAATGAGCATTTATGTTAAAGAGACGGCATTAATACAAACTGTGACTGACTGACAGAAATTTTGTAGCCTTGTGCAGAGTCAGGTAGCTGATGGCTCCAGCTGCCAAACCCTTGAAGAGGGAGTGGGACGTTAGGCACCTTGGGGATGGAGGAGCTTTGGACTTCTGGGCAAGTCTCTTTTTGCCAGATCATTTCTGTAGTTTCTCTCTGGATTCATCATCCATTTTCTTGTCCTCTTGTCTTCACAGACCTGAGGACATCAGTGCTCCTTTTCAAGGGTAACTGATGGATGGCTTTAATTTGCCATGGGAGGTACACTCACCGGAGTTTTTCTGGCTCCAGTCTAAACCTGAGAGTGTACAGATGGTGCCTGGCGAGACATTCCTTGTAGCAGGGGGAAGGAGCTGGACTTTGCGGTTGAGTATGGCTGGTCTATCCAGTTTAATGAGCATGATGTCATCCTGTGGGTCACTGTCATTATACTTCCAGTAGCGAATGATCTGGATGGGGTTAATTGTCTGCTCTGTTCCATCTCTGACTCTGCTCTTGAAATTTCCCAGCATCACTTTCAGATTTCTGAAGGGAGAAGGAGTTAGATGTAATCACTATCATTGTCATTATTGACTGTTACAATGTGCCAGGTACTGTGACATACGTACTTTAACTAACTCTGGGCAGTGGACCCTATGTTTATCTCTGTTTTACAAATGAAGTAGTGGAGGCACTTAGTAATTTATCCATGATTGAATAGTAAATAGTGGAAGCCTTGACTACTGTTTTAATATGGTGTCCTTAGTGTGGTATAAAGGAAAATGTCATACATCAAGGAAATTTAATTTTCCACTGTCTCCAGCTTTCTTTCATCAGTTTTTGTTTTGGTGGAGACAGACAAATGGAATGAGCTGAGTATTATGTATCTTCTGTTAACTTCACTGAATTTATAGACAACCCTCCTCTACCCTGATCTGCCCTTTTAGAAGGTTACATGGATTAAATCAATGTATCTTCTTGTCTTGTGCTTCTGATTAGATTTTTGGTTACAGGAAGAACCAAAGATAATTGGAAGGAGAAGGGTGAAGTTACAGTATTTATCCTCCCAGTTCCATCCCTGCAGTCTTGGATTGGCTGTATCATTCCCATTAGTTAGTCCTCTCCTCTGCCACTCTCTTCTCTCCTCTCCCATTCCTTCTCTCTTCTCCTCCCCTCCTTTCCCCTCTTTTGTCTTCTCTCTCTCTCTCTTCTTCTGAAATCTCTTCCTCCTTGCTTGCTAGGTATAGTGGTGGTCACTGCATTTTCCTAATACTAACCCGGGGGTACAGAACTCTTCCTTGTGTTTTACAAATGATGTCTCTATACTTACAATTAATTTCTTTTAAAATCTCGTCAATTTACCAATATGAGTGTGTTGTCAGTTACCTGCTGGATTCTTAATTGATAAAATTCATACAGTAAAAATTCTTGAAAAAACTGATGAGAGAATGAAAAGACATAACATATAGCAAAGCACCTCTTAGGTGACTGAGTCACTCATCAACCAGGCTGGACAGGTTTTTAGGTGGACTATGTTTTGCACTCTAGGCTCCTTTAACAGGCTCCTTGCACCAGCCTCTACCCACTAGAGGTCACTATTGCCATTGCCTGATTATGGTAACAACAAGAAAAAATACCTTCAGACATTACTAAATGTACCCTGGGGAAAGTTTTCCCTACTTGAGAATCACAAATTTAGAGTGAGGAGTCCCTGTTTTCAGTCACTGAGGATGCCTAATACTCACGGTAAGTAGCAGTGAGCTGGGGCCAGCACCCAGCTGGTTTTGATGAGGACACCCACACAGGGGTTGAAGTGAGACTTGAGGTATGCCAAATAGGGAGCAGGGTCTTCTTTCTGCTCAGATGAGTGAGCAAAGAAAGATGTCCCTGAAAAAAATAAGTTAGTACTCTTAATATATAAATGTTAGAACAAATGAGGACATACTGTCCCAATTCAGGAGATGAATTTAAAGTAGTAATTGGCCTGGAACTGTGAATATATTTGATATTTTTCTGACAAAAATGTAAATAAAATTGATATAACATTATATCTAAAATTTATAATAATCATTTTTGGTTTAAATAATATTTGTTGTATGAAGACTATACTGAGACTCTTACACTGCTTAGCTAAATCACCAGCTAGTCACATTTCTTTCAGTTAAAAATAATTTAAAAAATGAAGTTATATATAATGTAATTTAATTGTTCAAAAATAATAATAGACAAACTTTAAATACAAAAAACTAAGTCTGGGAGTCAATTAGAACAAAATTCTAACATATATTGATTATGAATGATACATATTTTCTTCTACTTTAAAAGTTCACAGAACATACAATTTTTAATAAAATATTAGCATTGGTGGGATTATGAATGATGTATTTTTTCTATTTTAAAAATTCATAGAATAAACATAATGTTTTATAGATGAAAAATTTTTTTAATCTAAAGACTAAGGGAGAGGAAGACTAATTCTGATCAGAAATAAAGTACTGTTCTTGTTTTGACTGTGTTCAGTACTTCTGTTGATCTTCCCAAGCTGGTCTTGAACCTCACCCCATCCTTTTCTGAGCATTCTTAGAAACTTCAAGGAAAAAATGATGAATTACTAATAAAGATGAATGATATTGAGCTGCTTGCTGGCACTAGTCTAGGTGCTTTACATGGATTTAGTTTTCACTATGACTGAATAATACAGGCAAAAATATGCCACCATTTGACTGAAGAATGGAAGTACAGATGAACTAATTAACTTGCCAATAGCACACAGCTAAATGTGGTGCAACTGGGGCAGTAAATCAAGCTCTTCTTGATTTGATGGTTTGTGTCAAGAAGTCTGTAGGGATTTTGATGGGTTTTCTTTTATTGGTGATCTGTTTCTTTTCTCTGACAGCTGTTAATATTCCATTCTCGTGCAGAATTTCTGTGATCCTGATTAGGAGTGGTGGTAAAGACCTCACTAGCAAATTTTGCAATCAGAACTTCCTGAGAGGAAGGGTCTACAGAAGGTAGTGCCCTGGTATTAGACCTCTTGTCCCCATCGTATCTATCCTCAGTATTCTGAAGTTTTCAAAAGAGGGAATATCATAGATCATGAGTGTCTTTATGATCCGTTATGAGACATATTTTGGAATAACCAGAGGAGAATACTTGCCATTAAGGATTATCAAACTAATTGTGTATCATGACCTACTTCACATCTTAGCGTTTGAAAGGTGGGCTCAATCTGTCCTGAGAACCTTGGGTAGCATCAAAGAGGAGGGTCCAAGGGACCCAATTCTCAGACACTCTTCTTGACTTTTCCTATACCTTTCACACATACCCTCTGTGTCTCACCCTGTCCTGTATTAACCTCTGCCTGATTAGGATACTGAAGATCTGGGATACATACCAGCAAGGATACTCAAATAGAAAATAAGTCTCATAGTGGTCCAGCTCTTTTCATGTGAGGTGCAGAAGACCAGAAGTGTATGGAGTCCTCAGCTCAGTCGTCTCCTCAGGGAATGTCTGCTAAATCAGTGGATATAGTCAGGTGTGGGGCACCCCTGGGATCGGAATGCAGCTTTGGGCATAACAGAAGGGGGATGACTCACTATGGACAGATAGAAGCCCTTCTACTTTAAGGATTGGGGAGACTGTGCCTCTATTCGGGCCTTTCAGGCAAGGAAAAAGAAAGTTCCTTAGATTCTTGGATTCAGGTCTTTCTGTCTGCTGCTCTTCCTAAAACCCTAGCTGCCTGAAGATAGTTTAACTGTCTACTTAAAGGGAAGCTATAGGCTCAGGACTTTTCTTTCCCACAGAGTTTATGAAGCCAGGCCAAAGGATCAAGATTCTTACCTTAGCACAGGAAGACAGTGTCCTGGTTTTTACCTGGGCTCCCCTAACACTCACTCACTTATACTCTCCCAAGCCACTCCCATCTTTATTATACTACCCTCATCTTTACCTTTGGCCACTATTTCATCATTTGGTGGTCATCACCTGTTTTTGACTAAGGAAATGAAAACACTGATGAAACAGTTATTTTGACAGTTGAGGGATAGTGCACATTCTAGATGAGATCTAATGTGTGTGGGTGACAATTGAGAAGACAGTACCTCTAAATAGTTCACATATAATGAAATAGGCTGCCACAGTCACCCTTGGATAATTGCAGTACACTTTTAAGAAGAGTAGTAACAATAATAGCTAAAATTCATTGAATCCCGGACATTAATTTACTTATAGACTCATCAGTGGTGACTTTATATCTAGTTCAGAGTGTAAAATCAACTATATTTTTTATCACTTGAATCCTTTACAGTTTTTTAAACTCATAGTCTTATTGTTACATCATAATAGAGGACTGAGTTGTATTTTTTTCCTGATCTATGTGTGGCAGAACTAATATAGAATTTAAATGATTTTCCAAAGTGGCACATGAGCTATGGAGGTACCACAAATTCACTAAGTTAGAGAAAGTTTCATTTATAGAACTGAGCCCACCAAGTTCCTTTTTCTGATCATTCCATATGGTCTTGGGTAATACCAGAGAATATCTGTAGAAACTGGAGTTAAGACCTGATATAAGGAAGTTAGTTCTAAAAAAAGGAGTCTTGAGAGAAGTTGAGCAAGTCTCTATTTTCATAATTTATCCTTTTATAATTCCTTGATACAGAGGATTAGGCCTGTCAATATGTTTTCCTACAAGATGATGGCAGACAGTTTCTATATCAGTGTTAACTCTGTGCAGGTCCCAGAAAAAACTGTAATATATGAGGAGTCAATAATCACATTGTTATGTAAGAACACATGGCAGGGGTCCTCATTTCTATGGGGCCTGTGTGACAGAGGGGCTTGCTGGCTTCAGGACAGCTGTGTTGGGTTACTTGATGACCACCTGAGACATGCAGAAGGAAGGTTACTGGAAAATGAGGAAATCTGAGGACAGACTCTTTCTCAGGCACCTTTCCTGCCCAACTAATATCTAATTCAGGGCATAGTTCAGTTTATTTATTCTCCAAGTTTCAGATAAGATTGGTCCAGTAGAAAACTCAGAATTAGGAAGGAGTGTGAATTAGTCAAACTCATTTGGAAAGAGTTCTGTCAATATCTTTCAAGTAAGGTAAATACTATACACTCGCCCAATGCTCTGGCAGTTCTATTCCTCGGTATTTTATTTTTTAAGAAAATGAAAACATATCTTCACAAAAACTTCTGTTAGGATGTTTTAGGGCAGTTCAATTCATTAAACTAATGACTCCCCAAAACAAATACCCATTAACAAGGGAATGGTGCCGTTGATCCTGATTATTTATAGGTTGTATATCTATGAATGTACATACTCAATAAAATTTATTTGTAACTTCAAAATCGATACTTTCAGTTTTTTTCAGGTTTCTTGCTGACATGTCCCTAGAGCTATGAAACATTTGAATCACCTAGTAGTGCACAGCCTTTTAGCTGAGGTGGCATAAGGACATGTTCTGACTTCTTGTTTCTGTTCACATATTGTAAATAACTTTCTTTTTATGGCCTTCAGTGCCACTTTTGGGGGGGTATTTTTGTGTTTCATATTAGAGATTTTGCTGTTTAGAATGGTCCTCAAGCATGGTGCCAAAATGATGTCTAGTGTTGCTAAATGCAAGAAGGCTTTAGTATGCCTTATGGAAAGGATGTGAATTAGATAAACTTCATTCAGCTATGAGTTATAGTGCTGTTGACTGTCAATCCAGTGTTAAGGAATCAGTGTATATTAAATAAGGTGTCTTTAAAAATATATAAAAATAAATTTTATATAATAAATATATAAATGTTTATATGGTGATTGATTAATAAAAATACAGTGACCAGAAGCTTGCAGAAACCTATCCTTGTATTTTCCCTTAGAACAATGACTGAATATTTCCTAATTCAGGGTTCCTGACAACTTTACAGGGCATGCTTACCACAAATAATATGGATCAACTGTATATACTCTTGAGTAAATTCTATTTGGCAATAAAAAATTACAAGCTAACAATATGTACAACATGGATGAAGCTAGACACCAAGGAATACATACTATGTGACTATCATCATACAGGACTCTAGAAAAGCTCAAAATAATTATTATAATTATAAAGAAATATCAGAACTAATTGCCTTGATGTTAGGGAGAATTGACTTGGAAAGATGATGAGGAAATTATAGAATATATGTGTGAGGAGATTGCAACCTGAGTTCTGTTAAGAAATGAAACCTCTTTTCTTGACTTTAACCCTATTCACTGAGATATTCTATCTATATGGAAGAAGTTGTGCCTTTAATTATCCAGAGGTGCTGGTGAATCTCAGCATGGCAAAGGGGCAACACACAGTTGAGTATTTCCCCCTCTTCTGGCAGTTGGAATGGAGGTTACAGCAAAAGCCTGTGAGATTCCAGGGCTAAGAAATGAGATAACATCTCAGTTGAGACCATGGGACTCAGAAAGAATTATGCCTTCCCGACAGTGTAGGTTCCAAACTTGCATACATCAAGCTATGTGCTATACTACTAATTGGAGGGCCCCTGTTCCTAGTGCAGGAGAGTGCTGTGTTATTTCTTACAGCCATGCCTACAGTTTCTCTTTCCATGTACTCTGCATGACCTCTGCCCACCTCCCTGATTGATACCAATAAAAGCCATATTTTTTTGCTTATTTTTTTATCTAGTTGATCTGTCTCTTTGTTCATGCAGTGTTATGGTCTCTAGTTATAATTATGTTATTGCTTATTTGATTTTTTGTGTCTATTGATGTTTGTTTTATATATCTGGGTGCTCCTATATTGGGTGCATATATGTTTAAGATTATTATGTTTTCCTTTTGGGGTTTCCTGCTAACCAGTATGTAGTGACTTTCTTTATCTCTTTTGATCATTCTTGGTTTGAAGTTCACATTGTCTGCAAACAATAGTTACCTCTCCTGTTTCAGGGTTCCTTTCACCTGAAGTATTGTTTTCCATCTTTTGACTTTCAGTCTATGAATTTCTTTTTGGGTTAAATGTCTTTCTTATATATAGAACATAGTTTAATGGTGTCTCTTGATCCATTATGCTAATTTATTTCTTTTGGCTGGTGAATTGAATCCATTTACATAATATCACTGATATATTGGCTTATTTTCATCATGTTATCTTTCTGCTGTTGGTTTTTTATGTTTCCCCTCTGTTTAATTGTTTGCCCTGCTTTTTGGTGTTTTTTTTTTGTTGTTGTTTTTGAAATTGTAGTCATTTTCATGTCTATCTAGAATATCTTTCAGTACTCTTTGTAGGATTGGTTTGGTGATCATAAAGTACTTCAGTTGTTTTTGTCATAGAAGTATCTTATTTCTTCATCAGTTTGGAAGCACAGTTTTTCAGGGTGCATCAATCTTGGTTGGAAGTTGTTTTCTTTCAGGATTTGAAATACTTCACTCCATACTTGTTTTGGTTGTTTGTATTGAGAAGTCTGCTGTGATTCTGATAGACTTTCCTTTGTAGGTGATTTATTTCTTTTGTTACAGCTTTTAATATTCTGTTCCTATGCTGAATTTCAAGGATTTTGATTATTATATGTCTGGTGTAGATTTATTTTGGCTATGGCTAATTGGAGGTATATATGCTTCACTTATCTGCATATCAATTTGTTTTCTCATGCCTGGGGAAGTTTTCTGCTATTACTCTGTAAATTGTCTCTTTTTTTATAGATTTTTTTATTTTAAAGAAATTAAGACAAAAGAGGACATAACAAAGCAGATCAGAACAGAACAATTTAAGCAACACAGTATTTCACCACAACACAACCCAATGTAACAGTAGCTACCATAATGTCTCTTTCTTTGAAATAGTTGAGCATACCTTCACATACAATAGTATCAAATATAACAAAATAGTATAAAACCATTCAAGAAAATGAAAGTATTACAGGGCATTCAGAACCAGATAACAGAAAACAAACAATGGCTACTATATTATCTCATTGTTCATAAAAAATTTGTTTATACTATCACACATAATAAAATCCAATAAGATACATGATAGAACCAATGGAAACAGAAGAACAAAAGCACAGTAGGATTTCAAAGCAAGATGATATTGAATGAGCACTGGCTATTATAATGTCTTGTTTTTCTTCAAAATAGCTGTTCATACTATCACAGATAATAAAATCAAACCAGGATAAAATCATTACAACTAATGAATGAAAGCATCAAGCAATGTAATGGGGAATCATGATTACCATAAACTCTTATGTACTCTTACCATTTCTTACACTAGGGAGACTATATGGTATTTCTTTTTTAAATTAAAAAAATTTTTTTAAATTGTATTTTGAAGGTAGTAAAAATGCAACAGCACAAGACAGAACAAAGCCAATCAAGACAATGCAGTGAAATTGGTACAAGATCTCACAGTAGGATACTGGGATAGTAGTAATAGGTACTATGGTATATTTTTTTAACTTCATAATAGTTGTCCAGTCAATTAGGTATAGCAAAATCAAAGCAAAATATAACATTATAAAACCAATTAAAATATTGAATAGAGCAAAAGAAACAAAACAGTGAAAACAACCTTTGCCTTCAAACAGAAGATAGAAGGAAATCCCCCATATTTGCTATACTGCATACGGTCATCCTCCCAAGAGATGCTGAGACATCTATCCCTAGTAGCTATGGGGGGAGGGTGGAAGGGGGATGGGTGCTTGATTTTTCAGCCCGCATGGCAGTAGGCTCACAGGTAATGGTTCTCTTCCTAGCCCACACCACGGTGAATAAGCTACCTGAGTCCCACTATGGCCGGATCTTGGGAATTCTGGTTCTCCTTCTAGCCCATGCCACAGGCGCTTACCAAGAGAGCGGGTAAATAAGCTGCCTGAGTCCCACCATGACCGGATCTCAGGAGTTCTGGTTTTCCTTCTG